TCGCTCAGAAGAAAATTTTTTTTTTTTGCTCCCACTAGCTCTGTAGCCTGACCTAAACTTACTGAGTTTTTTTTTTTTGCTGCTCCCACCCAGTCCATAGCCTGATCTAAGCTGAAGATTTTTTTTTTTTAATTTCCCCTTCTTTGTGTGATCAGTGAGCAGATGCTTCTTTTTTTTTTTAAATGCTCAGTAAATGGATGTGATGGGCAATCTATGATTCTTTTTTTTTTTTCATTGAGCCCTTTCCTCTTGGTACCATTATCCTCATTACCTTTTCGGGGGTTACCTGTCCCCCATGGGATACAGTCTTGTGGGACAATTATTTTTTTTTTTACTCACTCCTAAACAAGAGATGGGAACATGAACTACATTGGGCTTACTGGACTTTCTTTCCCTGGATACGAATTGTGAGCAGTGAACAAAATTTTTTTTTTTTGGTTTCAGTTCATTCATTCCACTCCCAGAGCTAGAACGATTTTTTTTTTTTCGTGTTGTAGGCCTTCCCTTCAAATCTGCAAGTCCAGACTTTTTTTTTTTTCCAACCACTGCCGTTTTTCTTTTTTTGTTTTTTTGAGACTTTTTTTTTTTGTTACCCAGGCTGGAGTGCAGTGGCATGATCTCGGCTCACTTTTTTTTTTTCCTTCTGGGTTCACGCCATTCTCCTGCCTCAGCCTCCCGATTTTTTTTTTTTACATGTGCCCGCTACCACACCTGGCTAATTTTTTTATTTTTTTTTTTTTTGGGTGTTTCACCGTGTTAGCCAGGATGGTCTCGATCTCCCTTTTTTTTTTTCTGCCTGCCTCAGCCTCCCAAAGTGCTGAGATTACAGGCGTTTTTTTTTTTGCCCGACCCCAACCACTGCCTTTTTAAACTGAACACAAAGTTTTTTTTTTTATTCTCCAAGAATTGTCAAGGAAGTACCTCTGTACTTATGTTTTTTTTTTTTGGCCCTCAACTTTGACACAGCAGCACACTCTCTCTTTCTTTTTTTTTTTTATCAAGTTTCAAGACGTGACACTGCTGGTTTTCCTCCTCCTTTTTTTTTTTGCTCTCCTATCTGCTCCTCCAGCTGACAAATACTAAAGTGTTTTTTTTTTTTTTCCGAGTCAACTTTCTTTCTAGATGTACTTCTCTCTACTTTTTTTTTTTTCCCTGGTCACACTCAGAATTAATCATTGAAATGCCCATGACTCTTAAGCGTATTTCTTTGGCCCAGCCCTTCTCTGACCTCCAGAAAGATTTTTTTTTTTTTTTACTTGTAATTGTCACTTTGCTGTTTCAGAGGAAACTCAAAGTCAACAGGTCCAAAACTGTGACCTCCATTGTGCCTACCACTGCTGCCTCACACACACAAAAAGGCTAGTCCTCCTTCAGCCATACCTATCTAGATGAATTTTTTTTTTTTCCACCTAACCATGAAACCACAAATTCAGGAGACTAGGAGTCTCCTTCTAGCCTCCTGCTTTCTCAGTTTATTGTATCCAAACAACCACTATTTTTTTTTTTTTTTACCTTCTAGTCATCTCTCAAATATGTCCAGCTCTTTTTTTTTTTTTTTCTCACTTTGGTCAAAGAAATGCTCTCCTAACTGGCCTCTTTTTTTTTTTTCTGCACACCCCTTCAATACCTCCTTCACATTAGAGCAAAGTTTTTTTTTTTAAATGCAAATACTATTCCTAAAATAACGTTGCCTTCCCCTTTTTTTTTTTTTCAAAATCCTCCCCAGGGCCTCCACAGCTGCTGCCTGCCTGTTCTCTTCTCTCATCTCATGCGAGCCCAGGCCTGCCTCATCTGTCCTGCTTTTTTTTTTTTCACTGATCTTCTTCCAGAGTCTTACAGATGCCATTCTCTCTTTTTTTTTTTCCCTTTGTCTATGTCTTGCTCTGTTTTCCCCAAGCTATTACAGCTCAAAATAGTCACTGCCTCAAGAAAGTCTTCCCGAATTTTCCAGCTTTTTTTTTTTTTCCCCCCCCACCCACACCACCCATTTTACACTGTCTACCTCTTTTTTTTTTTTTATATCACAGTTACAATGTACTGTGCAATTAGGTGTTTAATTTTTGAACTCCCCTACGAGAACGTAAACTCCATGAGAAATAATAGTAATTTTTTTTTTTTAGCACAACCTTTTAAAAAACACTTAAAGATTTTACCCAGTTTTTTTTTTTTTTGACTCCCAAATTACTATGGCAGCCCTAACTTCTCCCTATTTTTTTTTTTATGTTTGTAATAACCTACTCAAACTCTTCAACTGAATATTTTTTTTTTTTTTTAAATGTAACATTTCTAAAACCTCTGAATTACCAATTACTTTTTTTTTTTCTCCGATTTCCATCCTGCTCAGGTCAATAAAGATCACTACCAGTCACCCCACTTTCTAGGTCAAAATGGTGACTGAGTTATCCTTGATTCCTTTTTTTTTTTCAAATCCCATATCCAAAAATAATTTATCAGTGGGTCCTCCTTTTTTTTTTTCCAAAAATAATTTATCAGTGGGTCCTCCTCTCTTTCCTTCTTTTTTTTTTTCCAAAAATAATTTATCAGTGGGTCCTACAGACTTTAACTTTTTTTTTTTTTTCCTCAGCCAGGTGTGGTGGCTCACATCTGTAATCCCATCACTTCAGGAACCCAAGGCAGGCAGATCACCTGAGGCCACGAATTCAAGACCAGCCTGGCCAACATGGTGAAACCCTGTCTCTTCTAAAAACACAAAAATTAGCCGGGGGTGGTGGTGCATGCCTGTAGTCCCAGCTACTCAGGAGGCTGAGGCATGAGAATCGCTTGAACCTGGGAGGCAGAGGTTGCAGTGAGCCAAGATCACTTTTTTTTTTTCCAGCCTGGGCAACACAGCGAGACTCCATCTCAACAAAAATTTTTTTTTTTAAATTAAATTTAAAAAAATTACATGTCCTAAGCATACTTCTCACCCCTTTGTCACTACCACTCTCTTTCATGCCTCCATCTTCTCATGGCATTTTTTTTTTTTGGTCTCCCCACTTCTGCCTGCCTCCCCCCAACTCTCTTCTTTTTTTTTTTGTCCTCCTCCCACCCCACAATACAGACTCTACACAGACAGTTTTTTTTTTTTGATCCCACAGTGCACATATGCCCAATGACTAGCATTTGGTTTTTTTTTTTGCAGACAAACTAATTATTTGCTGAATGACTAAGAATTCTGTTTTTTTTTTTCTAGGCTTCATCCCTGGAAATTCTGACCCTGAATTTCTTATTTTTTTTTTTGTGACTGATGATAACTCCACCAGACACCCAGGCCCATCTCCTCACAGAGGACTTCAAAGCTGTCCCTGCCTGCTCTTACTCAGGACCCCTTTTTTTTTTTTTCACAGAGGCCTCTGAAGTGACCCTGACACTTGGAAGAAATTTTTTTTTTTTCTCCTCTGAGAAACACTAGGGAAGCTAACTCAAGATGATTTTTTTTTTTTTAAGACAGTATCATGAGAAAATTGTCAGTTTACCAGAATGGTTTTTTTTTTTAAGCATCCTATGCCTGAATTTGGTGAGGGTGGGTTAAGTATTTTTTTTTTTTTTTTTTTTTTCTTTGAGATGGAGTCTTGCTCTGTCGCCCTTTTTTTTTTTCAGTGGCACGATCTTAGTTCACTGTAAACTCTGCCTCCCAGGTTCAAGAGATTCTCCCACCTCAGCCTCCTGAGTAGCTGGTTTTACAGGATTTTTTTTTTTCACCCAGCTAATTTGTGTAATTTTAGTAGAGACAGGGTTTTTTTTTTTTTTCCAGGCTGGTCTCGAACTCCTGACCTCAAGTGGTCTGCCCTTTTTTTTTTTCCAAAGTGCTAGGATTACAGGCATAAATCACCACGCCTGGTTTTTTTTTTTCACAATTCTTAATTCACTGTGCTACCAGAAGCGAAAACATTAATTAACTCCATAGACTGAAGAAATTTAAAATTTTAACTTCATCTAAGATTTTTTTTTTTTAAAGCTTATATGCAACAGCAGCACTGATTTGATGCACTCCTTTTTTTTTTTTTTGTGTTTACTCTGGTGCAGGTGCTAAGAACCAGGGAAATTTTTTTTTTTAACAATGCAATGGAAAAGGAATCCTCAGTCTCATAAGAGATTTTTTTTTTTCATTTGTCCCAAGGATCTCATGCTTTCCTCCATGCAAACATTTTTTTTTTTTGCTACATCAAATCGATTTGATTCCGTACACTAAGGATTCTTTTTTTTTTTAGTCTGGGATACAGCACCATATGAAATTACCAAGGAAGTTTCTACAACTTTTAATGCTTTATATTACTGAGCAAGGAGGTGTTCAGATTCTTTTTTTTTTTTAACTACGCTGTAATATGGCAAGAAACAATCTAATCTCCGATTTTTTTTTTTCACTCTCATTCTTCCTCTATAATATGTTTTGCTAAGCTTCACTCATTCCAAAACTTTTACAGAAGAAAAACCAACAGAAAATGTTTTACTTTTTTTTTTTTTATTCCTGAGGACTGGTATGGAGGCTCACATTTGTAATCCCAAAGCTTTGGGAGGCTGAGGTAGGAGGATCACTTGAGGCCAGGAGTTTGAGTTTTTTTTTTTCAGCATAGTAAGACCCTGTCTCTACAAAAAATAAACAAATTTTTTTTTTTTAATGATTTGTGTTCCAACTTACCTTTATGAAAACAGTTAATTTTTTTTTTTGTCTCAGATAAATACAAAAATAAATCAAATAATGAGGGTATTTTTTTTTTTTTACTCATGTCAGCATGAACTGAAACAGGGGGCCTCTGCCTTTTTTTTTTTATCATGTTTAACTCTTTCTGAGTCAGACAAGGACTTAAAAAGCAAGACTCTTCAAAAGCAAGAAGGAGTCAAGTTATTCAAGAAGCACAATTTTTTTTTTTTACCAAATGATTCTATATCGTGGTTTTGGGAGATTCTAAACTTTTTTTTTTTCATCACCCTGGATATATAAAAATATGCAATCCTCTCTAACTTCCTCTTTGGTTGGCTTCCCAAGAACCCAACCCTACCTGACCGGCTTGTTTTTTTTTTTTTCATCTGTAAAGCCCATTTCCTCCAGTTTGCAGCGCCTGTATTTTTTTTTTTGCCTGGTATGGGTCTGCTCTCGCAGGTCCTCCATGTTTGTTTTTTTTTTTTTTTCCCGCAGCTTTACAAAGTCACAGTGGTTTTCATTTTCTTTTTTTTTTTAAAAAAAAAAAAAAAAAAAAAAAATTAGCTAGGCATGGTGTTTTTTTTTTTTAAAAAAAAAAAAAAAGAAAAGAGCAACACTGGATTTTAATTTTTTTTTTTCAATTAAGTGTTTGCTGAATGAACAAATAAATGAAAACATTTTTTTTTTTTAATAGCAAAATGATCAGTTTGTTTAATTGCTACGATTATTTTTTTTTTTTTACTAAGGAAGAAACTCTTGCAGTGTAAACACTGTATCATAGGCAAGGTGAATTAACAGACCAGGAGATTTACTTTAAATTTAGTAGCCAATTTTTTTTTTTTAAATAGCAAAAAAGACACAACTTATTGTTAACCACCTGTTCTAGTTATTTCACACGAATATTTTGTTAGCAGTTTACAAACTATCCTGAAGTTTTTTTTTTTAATGTTTAAAAAGAGTATATAATATTAGTTCACTAAAACTTTTTTTTTTTTAATTCTACAAACTCAAGAACACTATCCATCCATGCTATAATTTTTTTTTTTATTTTATACAACACATTTATGATCCTGTGTTAGACACTATTCAAAATTAGTGAACACACTTACATGATCCTTCTTCTATGTTTACGGTGACTTTTTTTTTTTAAATAAATATGTGTTATTGTGACCAACACTCTTTGGTATATTTTTTTTTTTTATATTTTTTATAAAATTAAAAATGTTACATTTTCTCAATTTTTTTTTTTTATTATAAAATTTATCAATTAAGAAAAAAAATCAGCATTTGTTTTTTTTTTTTAGTAAGGGTAATCTATTCACCATTAATTAGCACTATAAGTTTTTTTTTTTTACAGTACTACTTACTTACTCATTATGTCAGATAAATAATTTTTTTTTTTTGTGGATTTAACTTTTTAAGTTGGCTGACTGGTTTATTCTGTTTTTTTTTTTCAATACTTTGATCAGTAAAAATAAATAAATTTCTGAGATGTTTTTTTTTTTTCATAGTTAAGTGGTAATTAGTGATGTTTTATGTCTGAACACTAGTTTCTACATTCACATTTGGGTCAGAGTGCCCCACTGTTGTTTCCCATTTTTTTTTTTGGTACCGCGGGGAGGTAATGTGTGTGTGGCATAATGAGAATTTTTTTTTTTTACATGGACTCCAGACTTTGGCTAAAATAGTACACAGCCAACTCCTCTGACAACCAATCACATCCAAACTAAGCATCACCCCAAAGAAGGCTTTTTTTTTTTCTTTGAGATTACTAGATACATATTTCTAGTCATCCTTTGTTTTTTTTTTTTTGTACAACACCCCAAGGGTACTGGCGAGCTTTGACCATCTTGTTTCCAACTTTCACCTCATCCATACTTCCCACAACAGCAAATGGCAACTGTCCCTGAAAAAGAATATCAAACACATCTCATACCAGTGTGATAACTGACTAGATAAAAGACATTTTATGTAAGAGAGAAGAGAATAATTTATTAAATAAACTTTTTTTTTTTAAATGGTTAGCTATGCCTCAGATTTTAAAACCTGCCAGTGTTTTTTTTTTTACTGTTCTACAAGAGTCATCTTTGAGCCCCATAAAGAAAATTTTTTTTTTTCAAGGCATTATGCTATTGGGAATACACACAAACAAAAAAATTTTTTTTTTTTTTTTATTTTTATTTTTTTGAGACAGTCTTGCTCTGTCGCTTTTTTTTTTTTGCAGTGACATGATCTCAGCTCACTGCAGCCTCCACCTCCTTTTTTTTTTTGATTCTCCTTCCTCAGCCTCCCGAGTAGCTGGGATTACAGTTTTTTTTTTTAACACCCAGCTAATTTTTGTATTTTTAGTAGAGACGGGGTTTTTTTTTTTTGGCCAGGCTTGTCTCAAACTCCTGACCTCAGGTGATCCACTTTTTTTTTTTTTATAGGTGTCAGCCACTACACCTGGCCGAAAAACAATTTTTTTTTTTTTTACAAAGATAATGTTGAGGAAATTACACATACACACACCCATTTTTTTTTTTTTGTGAATGTAACTATACAATAGTGTATTCCTATTCTGTGTTTTTTTTTTTTGTGTATAGATATGATACTAATATAAAGTAGTATACAAAGTCCCAAATTAATGTCAATATAGTAAATGTCCTAGAAATTGAGAGGAGTGAGTTTTTTTTTTTAGCAGGAAGATACAAGCTAAGCCAGATCAAGAAGAACAAGATTTAGATGGATGAGCAAAGTGGCAAGAAATGGCTTAGAAAAGGAAAAGATTTTTTTTTTTTCGTAATAGCTAGGTTCAGGGGCAAGGAGCAGACTGGTCTGTTTTTTTTTTTGGATTAATACAGGGGAAAAGTCTAATGTAAAAAGTATTAATTTTTTTTTTTAATATTTTTAAATTGACATATTTAGTTTCTTAATGGTGGCTTTTTTTTTTTTCTAGGTGAGCACAAGAAATAAAATTAGATGTAAAGACAATTTAACATACAGGAATTAAGATCACCTCATTTACATTAGTTTTTTTATAGACTTAGTTTAGGTACATTAATATAAAAGTGGTATGAAAAATCAGAAAAGGAATTTTTTTTTTTTGGAATGAACAATTATTCAAAGTCACTGGTAGGCGCTTAATTTTTTTTTTTTCATTCATCCCTCACAACCACCCTTAAGATGGGCAGTATTAACCTAACTTTGTAGATATGTTAAGTCTCAGGGAGGTTAGTAACTCCAATGTTTTTTTTTTTAAGCCTGTCGGATTTCAAAACCCATGATCCTACAAAATATTTTTTTTTTTTTTAAAAATGTGTTAGCTTCAAGAAAGTAAAATAAAGAACTTTTTTTTTTTTCATTGTATCAAACTAAAAGTTACGTGAATGTAACTTGGCACTATAAGAGAGAAGGAGCGTAAATACTAGCTTTAAGAGGCCTCCTTAAAGATTTTTTTTTTTTACAGCATGCAAAGAGAGGCTGTAAAGTGTTCTCATGTTTTTTTTTTTTTTGTAGGAAGGTGTCATCTTTCTAAGGCAATTACATACGGTTTTTTTTTTTTTATATCCCAGTCTCACAAATGTATCACTTTATTTTGGTGAATTTTTTTTTTTAGAAAAATATGCTTAAAAATAAATTCTCCTTATACTTTTTTTTTTTTTTTTAATAAAACAATTTCTCATACTGGACTTTTTGAAAATTCACCTTGTTTGAAGTCTTTTTGGAAGACACAAGTGAAAGTATATTAGTAGCAATTTTTTTTTTTTATTAGTTTTATTTTCACATGGAAAACAGAATTAACATTCAATCAGGAGCTCACATTCATCGCAGCATTGACCTTAGCGATAGTGTCATCATTTTTTTTTTTTTGGTATATCTGGACGCCATTGCTGACCAATTCACTCATGAGCTTGATCTTAAACTTCTGTAATTCAGTTTTAGAAACCGTATCTGCTTTGGTTTTTTTTTTTATAATGTTTACCTATTAAGAATAAAGAAAAACAAAATCTTTTTTTTTTTTTTTTTTTAATCCTGCAGCTGTTTTTTCACTCAAAACCGTTCATTCTTTTCCCTAAACCTAGATTGGAGGGCTGGCAAACTACGGTCCATCTCTTTTTTTTTTTTTATACATAAAGATTTACAGGAACACTGCCATATCCATTTACTTGTGTACTGTCTACAGTTGCATTCACACTACAACAGCAGAGATGAGTTACTGCTGCCAGAAACCATAGGGCCCGTGAAGCCCGGTGTATTCACAGCCTGTTTTTTTTTTTAAAAGGTATGCCAACCCGGACCTAGATGGCCACTCTCCTGTTTTTTTTTTTCCCTTACACGCTCATTCCTACAGATGCTGGCCACACAATCTTTTTTTTTTTCTTTTTTTTTGAGATGGAGTTTCGCTCTAATCCAGGCTGGTGTGCAGTGATGCAATCTCAACTCACTGCAACCACTGCGTTCCGGGTTCAAGCGATGCTCTTCCCTCAACCTTCCAAGTAGCTGGGATTACAGGCACCTCAATCAATGCTTTCAGAAAGCAGAACTCTTGTAAGATTAATCTTTCATTTGAGTTTAGGTTTAGAAATCTCACATTTTCTTTTCTCTCAAAATCTTGCAATTTCATCAAACACTTAAAAAGTAAAATGTGATAAAAGGTAAACTGAACTGGCTCCTTAATTCACTAAGAATTTTTATTTTTTAGTAATCTAAGCACTAAGTAACCAGGGTGATTGATCCCTCAGCAAAACTAAAAGACAGGTGAAGCTTCTCTTTCTGCCTCTTGTTTCAGGACTGACTCCAAGCCTACCTATGCCCCATTGTCACAGACTTACTTAGACAGCAGAGGAAGGAAACCGTACGTACTAATACCAATTAAAAGTGTTCATGATGCAAAGGAATAACTTTCTCAATATTATTTAAAGTCCTATCACTGACAGAGGGGAAGAGATACGGGGCTATGAAGACCGAATAACTTGTAAATTTAGTTCTATAAGATTAATATCCCCACAAAAGACTGATAGCTCCACAAATTTGTGACTGGTGGTTCTTAAGTTTTTTAGTTTGGTTTTCATCAAAAACCTCAGGCTAATCAGTCATATGTATCAAGAGAGTAAAACCATAATGTAATTTTCAGATTAAAAGTAAAAAATTGGCTGGGCATGGTGGCTCACGCCTGTAATTCCAGCACTTTGGGAGACTGAGGCAGGTGGATCACCTGAGGTCGGGAGTTCGAGACCAGCCTGACCAACATGGAGAAACCCCATCTCTACTAAAAACACAAAAAAATTAGGTGGGCATGGTGGTGCATGCCTGTAATCCCAGCTACTTGGTAGGCTGCGGCAGGAGAATCGCTTGAACCCAGGAGGCAGAGGCTGCAGTGAGCCGAGATCACGTCATTGCATTCCACACTTCAGCCTGGGCAACAAGAGTGAAGAAAATGTGGCACATATACACCATGGAATACTATGCAATCATAAAAAAGGATGAGTTCATGTCCTTTGTAGGGACACAGATGCAGCTGGAAACCATCATTCTCAGCAAACTATCACAAGAACGGAAAACCAAACATCGCATGTTCTCACTTATGGGTGGGAATCGATCAATGAGAACACTTGGACACAGGAAGGGGAACATCACACACTGGGGCCTGTTGTGGGGTGGGGGAGCGGGGAGGGATAGCATTAGGAGACATACCTAATGCAAACGACGAGTTAATGGGTGCACCACACCAACATGGCACATGTATACATATGTAACAAACCTGCACATTGTGTACATGTACCCTAGAACTTAAAAGTATAATAAAAAATAAATTAAAAAGAGGAAAAAATTATAATTCCTATTCTATTCTTAATTTTTTCTCTTCTCAAATTTCACATTGATGCCAAGTATATATCTGAATGTATCAGTCTTCCATATGCTCCAAAGGAGAGAAATTTTTTCTATCTATGAAATTAATGGCAGAAAACTTTCTAGCAATCCTAAGTAAACAACTTTCCTGTTAAATTAGTCAAAGTACATAAACATTTTGATGCCAGGTCCTTAGTTTCAATATTATATACTTAGGTATTCAACGAATTATGCCAAGTTAATAACTTAGAATTGCTTGCACAATAAACTGCAGTAGACTGAATACTAAACATCAATGTTTACACGACTATTAGAGGGAGGGAAAGTAACAGATATTGCCCAAAGAGGGTCACTTGCCACCAATGGCATAAGAGAAGATAACTTTCCACATCAAGCAGTTGAGTGTTCTGATTTTGAGGAACAGAAGACAACCATCCGGAGGCAGCCTGGGGAGTGGAGACATGAGGTCAGCAAGCACACCTCTCATCTTCATGTAGTGCCCTTGTGTAAGTTAGAATTTCCCTACACCCGCCAGCTGCCCCTACAAAAAATCTGTGTATTGCTATTTAAAATGGGCCAAATCAAGCAATTTAAGCATATCCTGATTTTTCCTTTAAACTTATAACAAAACTTAGGTGTTAACTTCCTGTCTAGTTTGTACAATAGAAAGATAAACGCAGGATTTTGATAAGGGAGTCCCAATTTTAGAATTCGTCTCTCATCAACTGAATAAGGCAGAAGTGAGTAGTGACAATCTTTAAATGAGTGCATGATACCCGTGACCTTTACTGTTACCATAAAAGATTTCATTTTGGTTTGAATGAAATAAGGTACTGGTCAAAAGGTAATATTGTAATGCTCATCAATGTCTTTACAGCTGCCCCCCTCATCATCTGTGGGTTCTGCATCCACAGATTCAACTGAGGATCAAAAATATTAGGGGAAAATTTTTTTTTAATGACAATACAATAAAAATTATACAAATTTAAAAATACAGTATAGCAACTATTCACATAGCATTTACATTGTATTAGATTTTTTTTTTTTTTTCAAGATGGAGTCTAGCTGTAGCCCAGGCTGGAGTGCTGTCGCGTGATCTCGGCTCACTGCAACCTCCGCCTCCCAGGTTCAAATGATTCTCCTGCCTCAGCCTCCCGAGTAGATGGGATTACAGGTGCCTGCTACCATGCCCAGCTAACTTTTTGTATATTTATTTATTTATTTATTTATTTTTTGAGACGGAGTCTCGCTCTGTCGCCCAGGCTGGAGTGCAGTGGCGCGATCCCGGCTCACTGCAAGCTCCGCCTCCCGGGTTCACGCCATTCTCCCTGCCTCAGCCTTCCCAGTAGCTGGGACTACAGGCGCCGGCCACCTTGCCCGGCTAATTTTTTGTATTTTTAGTAGAGACCGGGTTTCACCGTGTTAGCCAGGATGGTCTCATCTCCTGACCTCATGATCCGCCCGCCTCGGCCTCCCAAAGTGCTGGGATTACAAGCATGGGCCACCACACCTGGCCTGTAGTAGGTATTATAATGAGTAATCTAGAGATTATTTAAACTATATGCAAGGATACAAGTAGGTTATATACAGTCATGTGCTACTTAACCATGGTGACATGGTTTGGATTTGTGTCTTTGCCCAAAATCTCATGTAAAATTGTAATCCCCAGTGTTGGAGGGGTCTGGTGAGAGGGGACTGGATCATGGGGACAGAGTTGCCCCTTGCTGTTCTTGTGGTAGTGAGCAACTTCTCACGAGATCTGGTTGTTCAAAAGTGTGTAGCACCTCCCCCTGCTCTCTATTCCTCCTTCTCAGGTCACATAAGATATGCCTGCTTTCCCTTCACCTTCCGCCATGGTTTTAAGTTTCCTGAGGCCTCCCCAGCCAGGCTTCTTGTACAGCCTAAGGAACTGTAAGTTAATTAAACCTCTTTTCTTCATAAATTACCCAGTCTCAGATAGTTCTTTATAGCAATGCAAGAACGGACTAATACACATGTTGATAGGAATGTGAATATGACCTTAGGTGATTTTGATGCTGTGTGAACATCACAGAGTATACTCACACAAACCTTGATGTTATAGCCTATAACACACCTAGGCTGTATGGTATGGCTCACTGTTTCTAGACTAGAAGCCTGTATAGCACGTAACTACACTGGATACTGTAGACTAACTATAATACAATGGTAAGTATGTGTATATGTAGGCAACTATAATACAATGGTATGTGTATATCTAAACATATCTAAATACAGAAACATATAATACAGTACAGTAAAAATAAGGTATAATCTTATGGGACCACTATTCTATATTTGGTCTCTTGCTGACTAAAATATAGTTTTGCACTGCAAGACTGTCCTACACTATTTTATATAAGGAATTTCAGCATCCTCAGGGTATTGAAACCAATCCCCCTTGGATACCGAGGGATGACTAGGAAGCATCTAGAATTAGTTATTACAAGAGTTTGCAGGTTGAACTGCTGGTTCAAGGTGCACTGCCTCTGAACAAGTGCTCATTAGCTCTTCCATTTATTCCTGAAAATCCACTAAGGGAATACATCAATATAAATTGCTCCTGGCTAACACTTCTTAAAGACTTCTGATGACTCAAAGGTGGGTGGGTTGGCCAATACCTCGAATACCAATACGTAAATATCCTCAATAAACTGTGCCTGTTAATTTTTAAATAAGTTTTAAATAACAATAAATAACAGAGGTCCTTCATATATGCCAGGCATTGTGAATGCTTTGTAATGTTCATCTCAGCTAATCTCCCCAAAAGTCTTAGAGTGAGCTCTCTCTAGCGCTTTTTTTTTTTTTTTTTTTTGAGATGGAGTTTCGCTCTGTTGCCCAGGCTGGAGTGCAGTGGCGTGAATTCAGCTCATTGCAAGTTCCACCTTCCGGGTTCACCCCATTCTTCTGCCTCAGCCGCCCGAGTAGCTGGGACTACAGGCGCACGCCACTACACCCTGCTGATTTTTTTTTTGTATTTTTAGCGAGACAGGGTTTCACCGTGTTAGCCAGGATGGTCTCGATATCCTAACCTCGTGATTCGCCTGCCTCAGCCTCCCAAAGTGCTGGGATTACAAGCATGAGCCACCGCGCCTGGCCTCTAGCACTATTTTACACATGAAAAATTGAATCCGAGTTCATCCAGGGCCACATAGCTGCTAAGTGGCGGGGCTGAAGCAGAATCCAGGCAGTTCAGCATGACGGCCATGTCCTAACCCCTCTTGACTGCCTGTTTTATACCCTGACGGGGAGACCTCAGCTAACTTTTAAGACAACCTTCTTTTTTTTTTTTTTTTTTTTCCAGATGGAGTTTTGCTCTGTTGCCCAGGCTGGAGTGCAGTGGTGCAATCTCGGCTTACTACAACCTCCACCTCCCAGGTTCAAGCGATTCTCCTGCCTCAGTCTCCCGAGTAGCTAGGGCTACCAGCGTGTGCCATCATGCCCGGCTAATTTTTGTGTTTTTAGTAGAGACAGGGTTGCACTATGTTGGCCAGGCTGGTCTCGAACTCCTGACCTTGTGATCCGCCCGCCTTGGCCTCCCAAAGTGCTGGGATTACAGGCATGAGCCACCATGTCCGGCCCAACAACCTTCTTATGTAAAATAAGAGGCAGATAGTTTACAGGGTAGTTTACACTTTTATCATAAAAAATAAAGAATATATTTAGGTCACCAAAGTTGGAAAAGATTAGATAATATATACTTACACAGTATACTAAAGCAAACTTCTATGGCAGATAGGCTCTTACTGAGCATGCCTATTTGCTAAACCCTCTATTTACATGGATCAATTTAATTAATTTTCATATCTGCCTCTTGAGGTAGTTCTTCTCCCTAGTTTTTATTTAAAAGTGGAGGACACTGAAAATCACTTAAGTTCACTGAGGCTCAGAGGGCTAAAGAAACGTGCACGATCAGACAGCTAGTAAATGACAGAGCCAATATTTAGAGCCATCCTCCACTGACACCAGCTTCTACAACTCTTTATACAAACTACCTCATGTTGCTCCACTCTAGCTAAGACAAAACTGCACACTCTTGTTTTTATGTTCCTTTAACAAATATGAATTTCCACATAATCAGACTCAACTATGAAAACAACTGGTTAAATGGTTAGAACATCTGATCACATGTGATCAGGTGAACAGACTGTCATATAAGCTACAACAATTTTTGCTAAAACCAGGGGACCAAGTGACTAGTCAAAAGTAAATCGACCGACGTGCCAAAGCTTCACTAGGCAGGCCTTCAGGCTTTCCATACAGGTTTCTGCAGAGAAAGCAACAGCATCCAGAACCTTGGATTTTGAATTCAACTTACACAGTTAGTAACTAGGATCATGAAAGCTTCATTTCGCATACCATTTGAGATTATGGAAAATTCTAATGTTTCTTTAATATAAGATTACTGTCTTTAGCCATCTTTTAAACAAATATAAAAATCTGAAGTGAGTTAGTTTATGAATTTTTCTATAGCTCCCCCAAATTTATATATAGCTCCTTGACTTGGAAATTCAAAAATAGGTTTTCTCTGTATGGTCCAAATTAAAATCTATTTTACGACAATATCTAATGAAACATTAGACCTTCATCCTTGTTAATGAAGTTCTTCTCACTTAATAGTTTCATAAAGTAAAATTAGTATCAACTAAATTCTGCATTAAAAATGTAGAGAATACCCATGTTCTGGCATGCAATTTAATCACTAAAAAGGGAACTACAATTTTATTGCAATATTCCTTCTTTGCATCTCATCTTCCAAATTGAATTTCTCTGAAAAAATAAGCTAGATGGAAATATAAAATGTTTTAAAGATTTCCAGGCACTGGGCATGGTGGCTCATGCCTGTAGTTCTAGCATTTGAAGAGACCAAGGAAGGAAAATCACTTAAGTCCAGGAGTTTGAGACCAACTGGGCAACATAGCAAGACACCCAACTCTATAAAAAAAAAAATTAAAAAGTTAGCTGGTGTGGTAGTACATGCCTACAGTCCCAGCCACCTGGGAGGCAGAGGCAGGAGGATCATTTGAGCCCACCAGTTTGAGGCTGCAGTGAGCCACGATCTCACAACTACCTCCAGCCTGGGTGACAGAGTGACTCTATCTCTAAAAAAAATAATTAAAAAAAGATGCACAGGATAAAAGTTACAATACATACCCATATTGTAAAAATATTTTAATAGTTCAAAATAAATATGAAAGTATGGTAAGTTGATTCCTTTCCCCAACTCACCTTGCTGTCAAGGTTCTTCATGGTTAAAAGATCAAGTGTCTTCAGAGAGTGGCCTGTCGGTGAAATGAAGTAGAGGCACACATGGATGCGAGAATCATGGTAGGTAAAGAGAGAACGCTTAATCTTCAGCTCTTCTTGGAGATAGGCCTCAAACTGAGCATCTATGTAGTCAACTATTGGTTGGTAGCTGAAAAATTATTTAAATGTTTAATACAACATTATTTGTGCTACCTTAAGATATCTATGCAACTCTTAGAAGTTTGAGGTCTATATTTTCATTGATTAATAAACAGTTAATATCTATGCTGAACAGATAACTGTAGTGATAAAAAAAAATGTGCAGAACATGCACAAAAGCTATACAAATGCTTCTCAACTTACAACGATGTTACATCATGATAAATCCATCATATAAGCTGAAAATATTAGCTGAAATGCATTTAATATCCGAATAAACCTATCATAAAGTTGAGAAATCATTAAGTCAAACTCTCCTAAATTCAGTATCATTTGTACTTCCAAAACCGTTAGGGCAATCTGTGCTTGAAACGGTATTGAATTTACATTGATTCATTCTCACAGTCATTCACACGCTGGGTCCCTTTCTGACATAGCTTCCCACACTTACCAGACTGCTGAAAGAGGCTGGCAGCAGTCTAATTTGTAATCAAACTGGTACATGGCTTATTATTTAACTAATTGAGAAAATGCATAGGTATCAATACTCAAAAGATATTTAAGTCAAAGTCCATGACTCCTTGCCTCTTAGATTTATACGGCACGAAAAGCATAAGTAAAGAAGAAAGGCATACATCAGCTGAAAGTATCTAACTAGCAATGCTGGCATGTTTTTATTTTCATTTGATTATAAATAAAGGAAAGGCCAATTATATCCTCTGCTCAGATAACTCCTCCCTGGAAATGCAGTCTTCCTTCTGGCTGTCTCATGTTATTCAGCCTTCAAGATGCAAATCAATCACAGTGCATGTGCAGAGCAGTGTGCTAATGCTGTTCCAAGAACAGTCTGTGAGCATTCCAAGTTCTGATATGTTAAACCACTGCCTTTGCAACTTACTTTTCTACTCTTAACTATTCTCATTAAACAAATCTGGGTTTCCAAGTGAAAATAACAGCAAACAGTTCTCATGTCAAATTCCCTGGAAACCTTTGTAATAACCTTCTAGCCCTATAATGAACCAGTACCTTGAGCAGCTGAGGTACTTAATAAATGTGTACAGAATTAAATTCTTCTATAAAGTTGCCTGACCTTCTAGTCCTTGAGGATCATCACTTCTTTTAAAATTATAGAATACACATTGTTCTCCCTATGCAAATGGTAAACAATGTGAGGACTGAGACAGTATCTTATACATCTGTGTTTTCCACTACAACTAGCATAGACTAGGCTCAGTGGCTCACATCTGTAATCCCAATGGTTTGGGAGGCCAAGGCAGGAGGATCACTTGAGGCCAGGAGTTCAAGAATAGCCTGGGCAACAACACAGCAAGACCCCCTAAAAAATTTTAAAAATCAGCCAGGCATTGTGAGGTGCCTATAGTCCTAGCTACTTGGGAGGCTGAGACGGGAGATCCCTTAAGCCCAGAAATTCAAAGCTGCAGTGAGCTGTGATTGTGCCACTGCACACCAGCCTAGGTGACAAAGCAAGATTCTGTGCGCGGTGGCTCAAGCCTGTAATCCCAGCACTTTGGGAGGCCGAGACGGGCGGATCACAAGGTCAGGAGATCGAGACCAGCCTGGCTAACACAGTGAAACCCCGTCTCTACTAAAAATACAAAAACCTAGCCGGGCGAGGTGGCAGGCGCCTGTAGTCCCAGCTACTCGGGAGGCTGAGGCAGGAGAATGGCGTGAACCCGGGAGGCGGAGCTTGCAGTGAGCTGAGATCCGGCCACTGCACTCCAGCCTGGGTGACAGAGCGAGACCCTATCTCAGAAAAAAAAAAAGAATTTTTTTAAAAACTCCTAGCCTGAAGCAATCAACCTGCCTTGGCCTCCTAAAGCACTGGGATGACAGGCATGAGCCACCACATCCAGCCTCAAAAAATGATATTTTTTTAACAAGTAAATAAATTAAATAAATAGCATAAAACCTTGAACATTACAAGAATTCAATTCATCATCAGAGTGATTATTATAACAACAGTAAGTGATCCTTCAGAAAGTGGTCTAAATGTGACCCAATAGGATTCACTTCCCAAAACAATAAAATGGGAAAAATTAATCTGTTAAGTATATATTTCAAATAAACATTCCAAAGAAGCTTTTATTAATGACCTGAAATAGGTCAGTAAGAGGACCTATTATGACCTAAATAAATAACCATAAATGTACCTCTATCTGAATGTTTTGTCTTATGCTATTCAAGAATGAAAACTGTAAAGATTTTCTGCTAAATAAATAATATGCCATTCTTTCATAATCTGGACAAAAAGATAAAAAATATGAATCAGAGAGATTAAAAGACACAAGATATAATGAGAAGATCTAACACACATTTCATCAAAGTTTTCAAAGAAAAAGGGGCAGAGGCAATATTTACAGAAGAAATGTCTGAGATTTTTTAAAAAGAACTGATGGACACTATTCAGAATCAAGAACTCAAACATATCACAAGCAGCGTAAATTAGAAATAATAAAAACCCAGATACAGCATAGCAAAATTGGAGAACAATAAAAACAAAGATCTTAAAAGCACTGGAGGAAAAAAAGGAGAGAACCCTTAAGGGTGACTCCTTAATAGCAAAGATGGAAGCCAGGAGAGAGTGGAATGATATTTCCAATGCAAGAAAGAAAATAACTGGCAACCCAGAATTGTATATCCAACTAAAATTTCAAGTATGTGAGTAAAACAGAAATTTTTGGTTAATAAATGGTAATAAACATATACTGGTCATATAATAATACCTTGTGTAGTTAAAAAATAGAGAACTCGGCCAGGCATGGTTGCTCACTGTAATTCTAGCACTTTGGGAGGCCAAAGTTGGAGGATTACCTGAGGTCAGGAGTTCAAGACCAGCCTGGCCAACATGGTGAAACCCTGTCACTACAAAAATACAAAAATTAGCCAAGCATGATGGCGGGTGCCTGTAATCCCAGGTACTCAGGAGGCTGAGGCAGGAGAACTGCTGGAGTGCAGGAGGTAGAAGTTGCAGTGAGCCAAGATCGCTTCATTGTACTCTAGCCTGGGTGACAGAGTGAGACTCCACCTCAAAAATTAAAAAAAAAAAAAAAAAGAAAAAGAGAGAGAGAACTTGGTCAGATAGTGGCTCATGCCTGCAATCCCAGCACTTTGGGAGGCCAAGGCAAGAAGATTGCTTGAGGCCAGGAGTTTGAAATCAGCCTGGCCAACATGGCAAAATCCCATCTCCACTGAAAATACAAAAATTAGCTGGTGGGGTGGCGTGTGCCTGCAGTCCCAGCTACACAGGAGGCTGAGGCTTAAGAATCACTTGAACCCAGGAGGGGGAGGCTACAGTAAGCCGAGATCGCACCACTGCACTTCAGCCTGGGTAATGGAGTGAGACTTTGTCTCAAAAAAATAAAATAAAATAAAAAGAGAGAGAGAGAGAGAGAGTTAGTATATAATAGCAATCAGGAGAAGGGATTAACAAAATTTAACTGTTCTAAATTTAATTTCATTGTCTATTTGTATTATCAAGGAGAAGTATAAACACTCATCTTCAACCTTAAGTAAAAGATTATATGTGATAATGTGTAAGAGAACAGGAGCCCTACGTTTTACCATAAACAAAAATTAACTCAAGATGGATTAAAGACTTAAATGTAAGACCTCAAACAATAAGAATCCTGGGAGAAACCCTAGAAAACACCATGCTGGACACTGGCCTTGGAAAAGAATTTACGATTAAGTCCTCAAAAGCAAAGGCAACAAAAACAAAAATTGTCGAGTGGGACCTAATTACACTCAAGAGCTTCTACATAGCAAAACAAACCATCATCAGAGTAAACACACAACCTACACAATGGGAGAAAATTTTTACAAACTATACATCCAACTATAGTCTAGCAGCCAGAATCTGTAAGAAACTAACAATTAAACAAGGAAAAAACAACCCCATTAAAAAGTGGCCAAAAGACATGGACATACAAGCAGCAACAAACATGAAAAAATGCTCAACATAACTCATCAGAGAAATGCAAATCAAAACCACAATGACATACCATCTTACAACAGTCAGAATGGCTATTATTAAAAAGTCAAAACACAACAGATACTGGCGAGACTGTAGAGAAAAGGAAATGCTTGTACCCTGTTGGTGGGAATGTAAGTTAATGCAGCCACTGTGGAAAGCAGTTTGGAGATTTCTCGAAGAACTTAAAACAGAACTACGATTCGACCCCGCTATTCCAACTTAGAATATATCCAAAAGAAAATACATCGTTCTACCAAAAAGACACATGTACTTGTATGTTCATCATAGCTCTGTTCACAATAGCAAAGACATGGAATCAACCTAGCTGCCCATTAACGTGGACTGGATAAAGCAAATGTGGTACACACATACCATGGACTCCTACACAGCCATAAAAAAGAACAAAATCAAGTCTTTTGTAGCAACATGGATGAAGCTGGAGGCCGTTATCCTAAGCAAATTAACTCAGGAACAAAAAACCAAATACCGTATGTTCTCACTTATAAGTAAGTGGGATCTAAACATTGGGTTAAAGTGGGATCTAAACATTGAGTACACATGGATATAAAGATGGCAACAACAGACACTGGGGACTACTAGAGTGGGAAGGGAGAAGTGGGGTAAAGGCTGAAAAATTAACTACTGGTACTATGCTCACTACCTGGGTAACTGGATCACTTGTACCCCAAACCTCAGCATCACACAATATACCCATGTAACAAACCTGCAATTGTACCCCAAATCTAAACGAAAATTTGAAATTGTTTTTTAAAAGGAAAAAAAAATACTTATAAAAATGTAAATAAGACTGGGAGCAGTTGCTCACGCCTGTAATCCCAGCACTTCGGGAGGCCAAGGCCGGTGGATCGCCTGAGGTCAGGAGTTCGAGACCAGCCTGGTCAACATGGGGAAACCGTCTCTACTAAAAATACAAAAATTAGCCAGGCATGGTGGTGCACACCTGCAGTCCCAACTACTCAAGAGGCTGAGGCACGAGAATCACTTGAACCCGGGAGGCGGAGGTTGCAGTGAGTTGAAATCACGCCACTGCACTCCAGACTGGGTGACAGAGCGAGACTCCTCAAAAAAAAAAAAAAAAAAAAATTGAAATTCATTTCGAAAAAGAAAATGAAACAAAAAGTTATTGCTTTAACAATCCTTTTCCCCCTTTTATAGTTTAAATTTGATACAGAATCTCTACTCAATCTTTATATGAGCTTAGGAGAAATATGAAAAGAAAAAGAGACATCAGGTAAAATATAAATTAAAATTTCACTATCAAAACTTTCCTGCAATGATTAATAATTTAACTGGCTAATTTGATTAGAATTTTACAAAAAATTCACGCATCAGGTATTTGGCCATTGTCTATAATTGTTCTTACATGTCTTATTTTTTTTTTCTTCAAGGAGATAAGCCTTGCCTGAAAATTAGTATAATTAATATACATTTAATTTGCATGTCAGGAAATAATTAAAGCTACTTTTGCTGAAATGCACATTTTAATAAGGTGATTCAAATTATTCTAAAGAAATTAGACAAATGGATAGAAAAATGTCAATGTGCTAATAAGAACAAACTATTGCTTAATTATTTTATTGTTAAAAATTAATGTATGGAAGGAAAGGTATGGATTACCATAGGAGAAAATCAAATCATAGTTCATACGGCTATAAGGCAAATGTCTTGAAATAAGAAAAACTTGTTTTATTACAGGAAGAAAACACGTACCTCTCTTCTTTATTTATTTGGTCACCAAATCCCACTGTATTCACAATGGTCAATTTCAATCGAACATTACTTTCCTGGAGTTCATATGTCTGAGCTTTAAGTTTAACATTTGGGCAAAAATGTGAGGATTCATAGTCTTCAAAATTAGTATTAAACAATGTGTCAATCAGTGTTGATTTTCCAATTCCAGTTTCCCCTGAAACACACAAAGGTACATCTTTATGGTTGTACAAATGGCTGAAAAGAAATACAACTGTAAATGCCTAGAGTGGTTTCAAAGATCCCAAGTATTTCAAAGGCCAGGGTGCACATGAAAGAAATACACACTATGGCTGGTCCCCCAGAGGTCATTAGCAGAGCACAGAGTAAGTGTGCTAAGCTACTCAGGACTCTGACAACAACACTGAAATGTTTATAGAACAAGCCAAAAGTTTAAAGCTAACAAAAACAAAACTAACATAATCTAAACAACTGAAGAGAATCCCTGGGATCATGATTTCAAATTGATAACATAAGCATCGTTCTGCCCATGACAAGAATGAAGTGAGTACAAGGCATATGAATGAACAACTTAGAGGAAGATAAGGTGGCACGTACCCACACAGAGAATATTAAAGCAGAAACCTTGCTGAATGGATCTGTTCACCAGCTGATCAGGCAAACTCTCAAAACCAACATGGCCAGACATAGTCAAGGAACGAACGTTTTCTCTTTTCTGAAGGAAAATAAGAACAAAAACAACAGCAATAATAACAGTAATAAAAAACTTTGACTTAAATAGGATATAGGTGTACTTGAAAGGATAAATATATCAAATAAATGAAAAATTTTATAATCATTATACCTCATCTAAGATACAAGTGATTAAGTAAATTTTCAGGAAAAGAAACCTGTGTCCAGATCCTCAAAACACACATTTCTTATCCCTTTCATACAACGAGAGTCTAGCACTATGTGTAACATTAAAACATTCGATTTCCAAAATAGGAAAATATCCAACTATGGCATATTCACTTACAAAATAAAAAGTTAAAGTCCATTTGTTTATAAATTTTTAACAACTTAGAAAATTCTTACATTAAAATGTCAAGTGAAAAAAAAAAAATACACAACAAAAGTACAGATACAGGTTCAGCTCCCGGTAATGGCAGAGTAACTTAGGTCAAACTTATCCGCCTACTGACAACTATTACAAGCAACCTTTTTAAGTCACTAGAGTGCAACCAAAGGCAGATAGACACTGGACAGAATAAGACTAGAGGGAAGAAAACTTATCAGGTGAGATGAGTTTATCTAGCTTTTTCCCTGAAGACACTCCCTAGTCATTATGGCAAAAGGAAGATAGAGTTCAGGAGGGAAGTTATAGTCTTCATGGGTTAAGATGTCCATTGGAGATTGGGGCAGGCAGATTGGTTGGGAATTCAGGGAGAAAATTCCAGAAAGAAGGGAATCCAAAATCTACAAACACACTCCACTCAAATCCATGGCTGATGGCCAAACTGCACACATATAGAGGGAATACAAAGATCCCAGAAAGGGGAAAATGGGAATTGGGAGGAGTTATGCAGAGTTTTCAAGTGCCATCTTGAGGAGATGAACAGAGCTTAAATTTTAAGCCTGTAAGTTAAACGGTCTCCTGTAAACACCCTAGCCTTCTATTGAAACCCTAGGAGTAAGGTCCATAACTCAGCAATCAGAAAGCATAGCTGAAGCAGACGTGCCTTAACAAAGCCTTTAACAAGGCTCAACATGATCGATGTGATCAGTCAGCAATTTAATTATCTGTCAGAACAAAGTTCAACATTCTGCAGAAGAAAACAGAATCTAGCATCTCCATAGTATCTACTATACAATAAAAAATATTATGACAGGGAAAAAAACAGAAAAATGTGATTCATGGTCAAGAAAGAAAGTCAACAGAAAGAGATCCACAATGAACCAGATGTTTAATTAGCAGGTAAGAACTTCAAATAATGACAACAAATATGCTAAAGAATCTACAGAAAAAAGACGGCTATCATGGGTGGCATGACAGGGAATTACAGAAAGATATGAAAGAGCTCGCAACAGCAAAAAGCAGCAATTTCTAGAATGTAAAAATGCAACATCTGAAGTAAAAAATATATTTAGTACTAACAGCAGATCAAATAATGGAAGAGACATTTGTTCAATAGTTATCCAAGCTAAAAATCTCACAGAAAGAAAAAAGATAAAACTATGCCAGTCTTAAAAACTTGCATGAGAGTATCAAATGGTCTAACACACCAGTAATTGGAATACAAGGAGAAAAGTTAGAGAAAGAGGAGAGAAGGTGAAAGTGTGGGGTAGGAGGGAGGAAAAAAAAATCTAAGTAATAGTGACTGAAAACTTTCTAATTTTCTAAACTTGAACTCAGAACAAGAATTTTAGCAAACTACAAAGAGGAAATATCCAAAGGAACCCACATCTAGGGACATCACAGCAAACTGCTAAAAAACAAAGATAATGAAAACTTTAGGCCCGGCACGGTGGCTCATGCCTGTAATTCCATCACTTTGGGAGGCCGAGGCAGGTGGATCATGAGGTCAGGAGATTGAGACCATCCTGGCTAACATGGTGAAACCCTGTCTCTACTAAAAATACAAAAAATTAGCCAGGTGTGGTGGCGCACACCTGTAGTCCCAGCTACTCAGAAGGCTGAGGCAGGAGAAGCGCTTGAACCTGAGAGGTGGAGGTTGCAGTGAGCTGAGATTGCACCACTGCACTCCAGCCTGGGTGACAGAGCGAGACTCCATCTCAAAAAACAACAACAACAACAACAACAACACGAAAATTACCCGGGCGTGGTGGTGCCTATAATCCCAGTTACTCGGGAGGCTGAGGTGGGAGGATCACTTAAACTCGGGAGGCAGTCATTGCAGTAAGCTACAGATGTTGCTTAAGAAACAATGCAAACCAGAAGACAAAACAATGACCCCTATAAAAATGCCAAAAAAAAAAAAAAAAAAAAGACAATGTAGAATTCTATAGCCAACAAAAACATCCTTCAGAAATGAAGGCAAAATGAAGACAACTTCAGATAAATAAAATCTGAGAAAATCCACTGACAGTTGGCCCACGGTATAAGAAATGATAAAAGTTCTTCAAGAGAAAGGAAAATGACAACAGATCTACAAAAAGGAATGAAGATCATCAGAAAGGTAAATATGTGGGTAAATGTAAGAGAGGTTTTTTTAACTTCTTGAAAATAGAAATGTTTAAAGCAATAACAAAAACAATGTGTTACAGGTTACATGCACAAGTAAAATGTATAAGAAACACAAAATACAGGAGGAGGATTGAAGGAATATTGTTATAAGGTTTCTACAGTATACATAAAGTGTTATATACATAATTTTTTTTTTTGAGATGGAGTTTTGTTCTTTTGCCCAGGCTGGAGTGAAGTGGTGTCATCTTGGCTCACTGCAACCTCCGACCACCAGGTTCAAGGGATTCTCCTGCCTCAGCCTCCCGAGTAGCTGGAATAACAGGCGCCCACCACCATGCCTGGGTAATCTTTGTATTTTTAGTAGAAATGGGGTTTCACCATGTTGGCCAGGCTGGTCTAAAACTCCTGACCTCAGGTGATCCATTCACTTCAGCTTCTCAAAGTGCTAGGATTACAGGCGTTGAACCACCGTGCTGGGCTAAAATTTTATATTGTCTGAAGGTTGGGTGTGGTAAGTTAGAGCCTAGGTCAATTACTATCAAAAAAAAAAAGGCCGGGCGCCCGTGGCTCATCAAGCTGTACTCCAGGGCCTCTTGGGAGGCCCGCGACGGGTGGAGTCACGAGGTCAGCGAGATCAAGCACCATCCTGGGCGCAAACACCGGCGTGAAACCCGTCTCCTACTCAAAAATAAAAGAAAACGTTCAAAGCGCCGGGCGCACGATGCGCGGAGCGCCCTGTCAGTCCCAGCTACTCGGAGGCTGAGGCGGAGAATGGCGCTCGAACCGGGAGGCCGGAGCTTGCAGTGAGCTGAGATCTGGCCACTGCACTCGCCAGCCTGGGCGGCAGAGCGCGACTCCGTCCTCAAAAAAAAAAAAAAAAAAGCCAAAGAGGTCATACTTAATAAGCCCAAAAGCAGAAAATGCAAATGGAGCCTCAAAAAATCTCTCTATTAATCCAAGAAGTAAGGAACAGAAGAAATGAAAGGACCAAGCGGCACACCTATACCCGACAAACTATACAGTTATCCCCAACACCAAAATGCTACCAGTGTCCACCTCCCACTGAGTTTAAGTGATCCTCCCACCCGTCAGCCTCCCGACCGCTCAGCCTTGAGGATTACTCAGGTGCCACCACTGCCAAGGGATAATTTTCGCTGGTGCTTTTTTTGTCTTGTCTTGTTTTCCTGTTGTTCTGTCTTTGCTTTGCTGTTTTGTTTTTTGTTTTTGAGATGGAGTCTTGCTCTGTCACCCAGGCTAGAGTGCAGTGGTGTGATCTTGGCTCACTGCAACCTCCACCTCCCAGGTTCAAGCAGTCAGGTCAGGCGCGGTGGCTCACGCCTATAATCTCAGCACTTTGGGAGGCCAAGGCAGGCAGGTTACTTGAGGTCAGGAGTTTGAGACCAACCGGACCAGCATGGCAAAACCCCATCTCTACTAAAAATACAAAAATTAGCTGGGCATGGTGGTGCATGCCTGTAGTCCAGCTACACAGGAGGCTACAGCATGAGAACCGCTTGAACCTGAGGCGGAGGCTGCAGTGAGCCAAGATCCTGCCATTGAGCTCCAGCCTGTGCAAAAGAGCAAGACTCTGTCTCAAAAAAATTCATAAAAATAAAAATAAATAAAAAGTAAAATTGAATATCCAACAAAACAGCTAAAATAAAAAGGCTGAACATGTCAAGTGATAGAGATAATGAAGAACTGGAATGCTGGTAAATTTGCTAGTCTGAATGCAAAATGGTACAGTTGCTTTGGAAACTAGCTTGGCAGTTTCTTATGAAGTTAAAAACATGCTATTATATAGCCAAAAAAAAAAAACCCGCTTGGAGGTATCCAAAATAATGAAAATATATGTCCACACAAGAACTTATGCATCAATGTTCACAGCAGTTTTATTCCCAATGGTCAAAAACTGGAAACATCCCAAATATCAAACAAGTGGTGAATAGATAAACAAATTGTAGTATACTAAACTACTGATATATGTCACAACATGGATGACGAGCTAGGTATCCCGACAGTGATTTATTTACTGAGGTTTGAGTTTTTAAAAATACGCATTATGTGCATTTTTCACATAATCATATATTCATACACACACACACACACACACACACACACACACACAGATGTAAATGTCTCAAAGGGTGATGACAGACTATTGAGAGTGGTTACCAGTCAGCAGTAGACTAACAGACTGCGGTGAGAAGAAATCTCTGTTTATTGTATATAGTGGGCAGAATTCTAAGATGGTCGCTAACACTGATGCCCCTGGTGCACACAAACTTTCTCCCAGTTATTAAATCAAATGCTAATCTAGGTGTCACTGAGAAGAGATTTTACAGAGTGATTAAGTTCCCAAACCAGTCAGTCAGCCTTCGAAAGGGAGATTATCCTGGGTGGGGGCCAGACCTAATGAGGTAAATCTTTTTTTTTTCTTTTGAGACAGAGTTTTTGCTCTGTTGCTCAGGCTGGAGTACAATGATGTGGTCTCAGCTCACTGCAACCTCCGCCTCCTGGGTTCAAACAATTCTCCTGCCTCAGCCTCTCAAGCAGCTGGGATTATAGGTCCTTGCCACCATGCCCACCTAATTTTCGTATTTTTAGTAGAGACAAGGTTTCACCATGTTGGTCAGGCAGGTCTCGAACTCTTGACCTCAGGTGATCCACTCACCTGGGCCTCCCAAAGTGTTAGGATTACATGTGTGAGCCACTGTGCCTGGCCATGAGGTAAATCCTTAACAGGGCCTGGACACTTCCTGGCCAAAGACTTGAAGCATGAAGGGAACTCCACCTGCCAGTTCTCCCTTGCTGGCTTTCAGAATGGAATGGTCTCTAGGAGCTGACAACAACCCCCAGCCAGTAGGGAACTGAATTGTGCCAACAACCGGAAAGAGTATGGAAGGAAAGCCTCCAGATAAGAACCCAGCAGCTGACCTCGTGAGCATGAAACCCAGAGCAGAGAAGGCAGATGAGTCACATCTGGCCTTTGACCTACAGAACTGTGAGCTAACAAACAGATGCTGTTTTAAGCAGCTAAATTTGTGATGATTTGTTATGCAGCAACAGAAAACTAGTATACTATATTCTCTTTTGTGCCGTTTGAATCATTTTTAGTCATGTAAGCATGTTATCCTCATATATTTTTAAAGAGCACTGAAGAAGCACTAGGCTTCTTCCTCGTGAAAGTATTCAAGATGATAAGAACTTCATAACTTGTTAAAGTTGCTATCTGATAGGCATATGCTTATTACATACAAGTTGAACTAAATGGCCTCTAGGATTCCTTCTAGTTCTACAATGACAGGATTTTAATGCCACCAGAAAAAAGAAGTATTTCAAAAATGAGGGTGTGGTCCCCACGATGTAACACAGAAGAGGGGCCAGGGAAAAAGAAACTAAGCTAACAGTCACCGGATGGACTAGTCACTAAAGATTACTAGTGACTCTGACAGTAATCTCTGGAGGATTAAACATCATTCAAAAAGTCTGTGAGGAAGATGGAACAGACTGTTAGTACCATTGATATATGGAGAAAGAGGGAAAAACAAGAAGAGACTACAGTTATTGGAGCACAGAACTAAAGAAAATTATTTAATCTTATTGAATTACTGGCCAGGTGTGGTGGCTCACGCCTGTAATCCAAGTGCTTTGGGAGGCAGAGGCAGATGGATCACTTGAGGCCAGGAGTTCGAGACCAGCCTAGCCAACGTGAGCAAAACCCCGCCTCTAATAACAATACAAAAATTGGCTGAGTGTGGTGGCACATGCCTATAATTATAGCTATTTGGGGGGCTGAGGCATGAGAATTGCTTGAACCTGGGAGGTGGAGGTTGAGTGAGCCGAGATTGCACTACTGCACTCCAGACTGGGCAACAGAGCGAGCGAGACTCTGTCTCAAAAACAAACAAAATAAAAAACAACTTACTGAATTACCCATGTTTGTATTTGCAATTTTCTTTCTAGCTAAAGTTTAAAACGTTCCTCTTTCACCAAATTAAATTTACTTCCTATTTTTAAATACAAATTTCAATATAAATTACCAAACCCCTCCCTGCAGATCCTTAGAAGAATCAGGTCTAATTTTGTATCAGGGAGGCATCTGGCAGGACCACCCAAGGGCTCCCTCAACTCTGCCATTCACAGGAGTTCTATGCACCCACCACATTCTGCAGTGTGCTCAAAAAAAAAAAAAAATAATAACAGCTGGGCGTGGTGGCTTACGCCTGTAATCCCAGCACTTTGGGAGGCTGAGGTAGGCAAATCACTTGAGGCCAGGAGTTCGAGACCAGACTGGACAAACTGGCAAAACCCCATCTGTACTAAAAATACAAAAATCAGCCAGGTGTGGTGGCACACACCTGTAATCCCAGCTACTTGAAAGGCTGAGGCATGAGAACTTCTTGAACCCAGGAGGCAGAGGTTGCAGTAATCTGAGATTGCACCATCACATTCCAGCCTGGGCAAGAGAGCAAGGCTCTGTCTCAAAAAAGAAAAACAAACAATGAATGAAAAAAAGAAACAGGGCTGGGCGTGGTGGCTCATGCCTATAATCCTAGCACTTTGGGAGGCTGAGGTGGGCAGATCACTTAAGGTCAGGAGTTCAAAACTAGTCTACCAACATGGTAAACCCCATCTCTACTAAAATACAAAAAAAATTAGCTGGACGTGGTGGCAGTCACCTGTGATCCCAGCTACTCGGGAGGCTGAGGCAGGAGAATTGCTTGAACCCAGGAGGCAGAGGTTGCAGTGAGCCGAGATCACACCACCCCACTCCAGCCTGGGCGACAGAGCAAGACTCTGTCTAAAAAAAAACAGAAAAAAAAATGTCCTTAATGTCAGAATATTGTGTATACTCAATTATTCAATCCATCATCGACTTTTCACTTGAATCAACAGAAAAATTAATTCATGTTGGAGGTGAGTACAAACAGAAGTCTCTATCACAAGAGTCTATGAGCACTCCAAGTAGTTATTTTAAAATCATAGAAGCATTTACAGTACAATATGGTATCTATTTAAAAGACATACTCACTCTCTGTTCATCATCAGATCCTTGTGAAGACATACAAGTTGTTTTCGTTGCCATGTGAGACTGAAAGAGCTAAAAAAGGAATACAAAGGCTTAAAAGGAAACAGAAACATTACTCCCCAAAACCCAGTATCTAAATAATATATTTACATGAATAAGGTGTTATAATACTGTTGTTATCACCAAGTTTTGAAGTGTAGTCTACATTATTGAATCATGTTTGAAATTGTGGCTTTCTTGCTGGATAGGTATCTACGTAAGTAAATTACATATAATATTCAACACATATGGTAATATACTTACACACAAAAAAATTGTAAGAAATTAGTAAACTTCCATTTACAAGTAGGGAGACAAATAACTTTTTTTTTTTTTTTTTTGAGATAGTGTCTTGCTGTGTCACCCAGGCTGGAGTGCAGTGGTGTGATCTCGGATCACTGCAACCTCCATCTCCTGGGTGTAAGTGATTCTCCTGCCTCAGCCTCCTGAGTAGCTGGATTACATGCATGCGCCACCATGCCTGGCTAATTTTTGTATTTTTAGTAGAGACGGGGTTTCACCATGTTGGTCAGGCTGGTCCCGAACTTCTGACTTCATGATCTGCCCGCCTCGGCCTCCCGAGCACTCCCTGCTCGGATTACAGGCGTGAGCCACCACACCCTGCCTTTTCATTTTTAAAGATACTCTAAGAGCCATGAAGTCCCTCAAAATTAGGTATGTTCCACTGTAGCGTGTCAGAGGAAACATAAATGTCAAGAATGCTACAATTGCAGTGTGGTGGGGAAAGCAGGGATTTTATAATTTTAACAACTACCTTTGTCACTAACATAATCATTTATAGAACTCATATTACACATCCATATCACTATGCTAGCTTGTTAAGTTCATTTTCTTATTTAATCCTTACAATACATCTGAGCTACACATAGTATTATTCCCACAGCCTAGATGAAAAAATTCGGATTCTGAAAGGTTGAGTAATTTACCCGAAATCATACAAGCCAGTAGGGTGTAGACAGAGGTCTGATTTGACTGCCAAACTGGTGTTCCTTCTGCTGCCCCAAGTTGTAAACCAAATGGATATTCACTGTTCCCAACAGTAGAGAATGAGGGAAGAGAGGTACAAGAAAAACTGTACTAATTCCAAGGTACTGCTATCCTACTTCTGAATACAGCACAAGATACTGAGGAAACGTCACATTATTTAAAAAGTAGTATTAATATTGGTAAAAAAAATTGCAAATGGTACCAATGAGAATATGCACATTACTCCCTTCCCACTCTTGATTCTCTAGTAGCTCAGCGCTCTTCCCGAGAGGCACCAGACCCTTACGCATCCTTCCAGAGAGAGGCTGTGCATGTCTAAGCAGGCCTCCTTTGTTTATATAAATGGTAGCTGTCTACTGCTCTGTGCTGTGGTTTTTTTTGCTGAATCTTTCTGAGACTGTTTCGCAGTACTATTTAGATCTACCTCATTCTTTCTACAGCATAGTGTTCTCCTCTGTATACTACAGTGTGGTATATATACAGACGCTCTTCATTGAGACTGTCCTCTCCTCTGTACTTACAATGAACCATGCTGCAACAAATGGCACTGCAATGAAAGACAGAACTTGGGTGCTCCCACCACCTCACCCTGATCCTCTGGGTGCGCGCACACAGTGAATGAATCCTACACAGACAAAATAGTGCACATCGTGACTGACAACAATCTTTTGCTGGTACATTTTGATAAAATAGGCTGACCTTGTAACTGAACACTCTGAATAACAGTGTTTTTTTTGTTTTGTTTTGTTTTGAGACAGAGTCTCGCTCTGTCACCCAGGCTGGAGTGCAGTGGCGCAATCTCAGCCACTGCAACCTCTGCCTCCCGGGTTCAAGCAATCCTCCTGCCTCAGACTCCCAAGCAGCTGGAATTACCAGCAAGCGCCACCACACGTGGCTTATGTTTGTATTTTTAGTAGAGATGGGGTTTTCACCACGTTGGCCAGGGTGGTCTCAAACTCCTGACCCAAGTGATCCTACCGCCTTGGCCTCCCAAAGTGTTGGGATTATAGGCCTGAGCCCCCGCGCCCAGCCAACAGTGTTTTCAAATACTAAGTTTTTCTAACACAAAATGATGTTTGTCAGTTGGAAGATGCTCCTATAGAAAAGCATGCAAAAGCTCAGTGAGGGACACAATGGTCCTGGTTGTGTTTTCACAATCTGAAAAGTGAAAAGTGTATAATGATACAAAGCACATCAGAGACTAGCCTGATTTTAATACCTGGCCTCAGGCTTTAGCTTTTAACTACACATATACTTCACTTACACCCTGCCATTCTGAAAGGCCCCCCAATCCCAGTCACCATGTGGTACCTAAGCAGTATCACATCCCTCTAGTCTGTAGAATACAAGCAAAGTGAGAGCCCCTGGAAACAAACAGTGGTGGTTACAGAAATTTGGAGAAATTAGAGATCACTGAAGGCAGGAGTCAAAGAAGAAAATGACTTTGAAGTGAGTCAGGAAAGAGGTACAGATCTAGATGAGACATTTAAGGTAGAAAAAAAAATCCCTAAATACCACAAGGCAGAATTTCGTACTAGAAGAAAACACAGTAAGTGCAAGAATTTGATGGAAAAAAGGAACAGATTAGGGACAATACCTGAGTGGCAGACTGAGTAAACCAGAAGTGTCCATTTAGAGTCTGACTTTCTGCTAAAGGCTAAGAAGTGCCACAGATAATATTTGGCTAGGGGCCCTGTTCAGAGCCCTGCACTAAACACAATGAGGAGTAGGGTAGAACATTCCATGCTTGTCGTTAATTCCGGACCTAACATACTACCTGCTTACCTCTCAGCATGTCTCTACTATAAGTGATGTACTACACATATAATTCACTGAGGCTATATTATTTTGACTTGTCAAGTATAGAACTTTAAGGAAAAGTTTAATTTTTATTTTATTTTAGAGACAAGATCTCCCTCTATTGCTTAAGCTGAAGTGCAGTGGTGCGATCACAGCTCGCTGCAGCCTCAACCTCCTGGGCTAAGGGGATCCTTCCACATCAGTCTCCCAAATAGCTGCGACTACAGGCACGCACCACCACACGCGGCTGAAAATCAAACTTTAAAAATTACTGATAAAAAAGTGGTTTTTAGTTTTTAATATAGTGATGCTATATGATCAGCATATGATGAGTTTTGGTAAAATGCTGCTTAGTGTTGATAAGTAAAATTTGCTTAGAAAAAAATTAGAGGCTTTAGGCTGGGCGCTGTGGCTCACGCCCGTAATCTCAGCACTTTGGGAGGCCGAGGCAGATGGATCACGAGATCAGGAGATTGAGACCACCCTGGCTAACATGTGAAACCCCATCTCTACTAAAAATACAAAAAATTAGCCAGGTGTGCTGGTGGGCGCCTATAGTCCCAGCTACTTGGGAGGCTGACGCAGGAGAATGGTGTGAACCCAGGAGGCGGAGCTTGCAGTGAGCTGAGATCACGCCATTGCACTCCAGCCTGGCAGATAGCGAGACTCCGTCTCAAAACAAAAAAGAGAAAAAAGAAAAAAGAAAAAAATTAGAGACTTTATACTCATTTACCATTAAATTTAAATAAAATACAGGTTAAATTTCTGTCATTTATGTAAGTTCATATCAAATATCTGCTTTTGTTTATTGATTTACTGTGTTTCTGAACATCTGCCAAAAAGCCTACATAAAATCTCAGTGGATGAATGTTTTGATCAGGAAGTTTAAATGAGTCACATTAAAGTAATATGAATAATTATTTCAAATATTTTCCACTAGTACTACTTGGTCAGTTAAATTTCCAAAACAAGTTTAATACTGGAAAAGGTTTGAATTTTTTTTAAATTTATTAACTTAGTTATTTTTGAAACAAGTTCTGGCTCTGTCACCCAAGCTGGAGTGCAGAGGCACGATCTTGGCTCACTGCCGAGATCCTCCACCTCCCAGGCTCAAGCTATCCTCCTGCCTCAGCCTCCTGAGTAGATGGGACCACCAGCACATCCCAGTATGCCTGGCTAAATTTTTTGTAGAGACGAGGACTCACTCTGTTGCCCAGGCTGGTCTCGAACTCCTGAGCTCAAGCAACTTGTCTGCCTCAGCCTCCCAAAGTGCTAGGATTATAGGCATGAGCCACCGTGCCCGGCTGGAAAAGGTTTTTAATAAATTAGCAGGAAAAATAACAATAGGACAAGTGTTGGCTGAATCCCTCTAATGGCAAACAGAGCTCTGTGTAGGGCTAAGAAACACTAAATTAGAAAAAAATTAAAAATCTGCCAAGAAGAATTCTGGCCTGCTCTACCGTTGACCACTACTTAGTATGTGTAAACCACTCAGCTAGGCTCTGCAGTCTCAACAATACTAAGATATGGCCCTTGACCTTGTGACTGTGTCTCAAGAGAAACATGAATGCACAACAGGCAACCACAATCTCGTTTCAACGTACAAGGGGGTAAGGAGACTAACCATCTCAACCCACCTTTGACTACATAGTCAATTTGCTTCTATTTCAAAGATACATATATCACACACACACACAAAACCATATATAAATCTACACACCTACTTTCCAAAAGGAAAAATCCCATACAGTAACTTAACTCCTAGCAAAGTCAACCATATACTTTTTAAAAAGTTGTATTATCTATGAGTCCTAGAAAGAAGTGCCAGACGTGAGACAGCTGGAGGAAGGTCAGGTGCTCCACCTTCTTTAAAATCTCAGTTTGTGGGATACAGGCAATGTGAGAGACACACAATTCATCCTGGGGCCCTTGGGAGACATGGCCTTTTCCTATCTGCCAATTACAGATAAACTTATGATGGTTCTTTCACAACAGGCCCCAGATAACAATTTTCCTTACCCTGCTGGGAAACATTTCTGAAAATGCCTTACAGCCGCCCCTTAAGCAGAACAATGAGGCTCAGGCAACAGAATCCTAACTTAGCTTTATAATCGCTTCACTGTGTTTTTGTTTTGTTTTGTTTTGTTTTTTTGAGATGGAATCTCATTCTTGTTGCCCAGGCTGGAGTGCAATGGCATGATCTCAGCTCACTGCAACCTCTGCCT